TTTTTAAAAAAAATGTTGGCCAAAAATTCTTTTTTGTTTTTTTTTTTTTTTTTTTTTTTTTTTTTTTTTTTTTTTTTCTCTGTGTGTGTGTGTGCTTGGGCTGCTCCTGCTCGTTTTCCCACCCTGCGGTATTAAAGCACCGATGGTCCAGCTGCAAAACAATTTCCAAATAATGGGAATTCCCCGCCCTGCTGCACACACCTCTCTGATTGCAAGGAGCTGGGGAGAATTAAGGAGCGATGCGCACCCTCCCACCGGGAAAAAAAATTTAAAAAATAAAAAGAAATAAAAATAAATTTGAAAAAAAGATTCTGCCGTCCCGTCTGGTGGTTTTTTCCCTACTCGGGATCCAGCCCCCCCGGGCTGCAGGGGGTGGTGATCCCAGTGGGAAGCCGAGTTTGCCTCTCACCGTCTGAACAGGGGCTCGTCAGGGCGACAATCAAACCCCGAAGTGGCCCCGGTAATGAAACAGCGTTTGATTTTTTTTTTTTTTAATTTATTTATTTCAATTTTTTTTTTTTTTTTTTTTTTTAAGCGCGGGCTGCGCTGGGTGATCCGCAAAGCGTTATGAATTAGAAATGAGATTTTTTTTTTTTTTTTTTTTTTTTTTTTTTTTTTGAAGTCCTAATGAACCTGATTGCAGGAACATTTATAATCCCCCATGGCTTTAAATGAAATCAGATATAATCAGGAGCTATGGGGAAAGGGAGTGTTTACAGGCAGAGATTGGGAAGTGCTGCTGTATTAGTAAAGATGCTGCTCCTTCTATTGATGTCTGAAATGATGGATAATGTGAGAATGGCAAATATACTATTTGTCTAATGGCTCTGCAATTAAATTCCCCTGTAAATGACCCATGCCTCATTTCATCCTAATCTATGGAATTTTGATTGAATTCGTCAGCTCTAATTGAAAAATACTGCACTTTAATGTCTGCAGTGCAGTTTCAGGACCGCGCTGGTTTTAATGAGACGGTGCCCCTCTGACCCGGGAATATTTTAGACTTTTATTCGGGATTTTTTTTAATTTATTTTTTTTTTTTAAACCGGCGGATTTCTCAACTCGACTCCACGAAAAGCCGGGAACGAGAGGGTGCGTGGGGTTTGCCACCGCTAAACTCTCCGTGGCGATGTGTTTGATTAAGGTCTCCTGTAAGGCTCTTAAAATACTCGGACTCCGCTTGTTTAAATATGTATCCATTTAAAATAATTTTAGAAATAGCCTACTTCCCATTATCCGAACGAATTTCGGGGTAAGAACCGGGATTATGGAAGTCAAATTTCCCTTTTTGCCTCTTTTTTTTTTTTTTTTCTTTACCCGAAAATCCCGAGCACCTTGTTAAAAAGGGAAGGGGGAGGAGGGAGGGGGGAAAAAATAAAAATAAAAAAAAATTATAATAAAAAAAAAGAAGCGTGGAGTGGAAGTGGGGGAACCCCCGGGAGGGGCTGGAAGGAGTTCAGAGGGGAACACTCGAAGGAGTTAATGGGATTAAGCGGCGAATGAGGGCTTTAGGGATTGTTTTGAGGTTTGGGGATTGTTTTGGAGTTTGTTTTGCTGGTTTGGTTTTTTTCCCCCTTTCCCCTGGGCAGAGAGGGGGGAGGAAGGAGGGGGTCCCACGCGTGGGGCGGGGGGCGCATCCCTCCGTGCACAGCCAGGGCAAATCCTGCCCTCCCACCCTCCTGCTGGCAGCTCCCAAAATTCTGGAATAACCCCGGGAGCTGCCTCCCATTCCCCGGGGAGGAGGAGTGCGAGCCGTGGCCGCATCCCTGATTTTGGCTCGCACCTGCAGCAGTAAGAGCTCGCTGATTTTTGGGGGGGTAATTCTGCTCCGGGTCTCTTCTCTTGCTCACCTCCCTTTCCTTGGGGGGGGAGAGGGGGGGGGAATACTTTAAAAGCACTGCAGGGTGATGAGGTTTTGATGATTTTGGTGACGTTTCCCACGCAATTAAAATTTCCCCGGCAAATGCAAGAATTAGCTGGAGAGAGCCTCTGGATGGAAGCCCGGGTTTCGCTTTGGAGAAATCCAGAAATCTGGATTGACCAGCCGCTGGCAATCAGAGCTGTGCCCCCTCGGGGGTGCCCGGGGGAGGGTGGGCAGCGATCCGGGATCGCGGGAGGGGCTGGGGGCGGCTGTGCCCGGGGCATTCCCACCTGGAGGGGCTCCAGCCCACCCCAGCCCTCCCTCACCGCTCCCTTCTCTCCAAAAGCCGCGTCCCCTCCCCGCCTCGAGTTGGGGTTAAACTCCAGGATGGAATCACCCCCACCCCACAAACCCTGCCCGCTTCCAGGATGCCCCCACATCGCTGCTGGCGAGGTTTTTTGGGGACAAACCCTGCCAGAAGCCACCTGCTCCTGCTCCATCCCCGGGAGCGGCGTTCGGGCTCCCCATCTCCGGCTGGGGCCGGGGCTGCTCCCTCCGCACGGCCCAGCCAGGGGGGAAAGGCTGCCCCAGCCCAGCCCGACCCTCTGCAGCGCTGATTTCCACCAAATCTTTGGGGTTCGCCCCCTTCTTGCGCTGTTGGGGTCCCCCCTCGCTCCTGCTCCGCTCCCCAGGCACAACCGCGCCCCGCTCGCTCTGCCACAATCGGGGACCGCCGAGTTTTTGATTGGGTTTTTGGGTTTTTTTTTCCTCCCGGAGGAAAAAAAAAAAAATCAGCTAATTATGTGCCGAACAAAAAGCCCATTCTTGCCCGAAATAATACTGCCGTCCTGCAAAGGCACTTGTTTGTGGGCAAATTTTGAAGGGGGCTGACGATAAAAACAGCTGCGGGAGCTGGCTGTTGGTACACATTTCCATGCCTAATTATCCCTGCCCTGCCCGCAATCCAGCGGGGCTTTCCTGAAAAAAAGAGGGATTTTTTTTTGTTTTTTTGCCCCTCTGGGCTCGCTTTGCTGCGCTCCCCGTGAGGATTCCCCGGATTTTGGGTTTGGGGTTTTAGCGGTTTTGGGTTTAGCGCGGGGCTGGGTGGAGGGGACAGAAGCAGGAGAGGGCTGCGATCGCCGGCTGGAGCACGGGGAGAGGGGGAAAGGGATAAAAAATGGGAGAGGAAACATCCACGAAGCATCCACGGGGAACACGCCACCCTCCGCGGGGCTGGGAAAGCTCCCGAGCTGCTGCACATATGGTGGCCTCCGCAAGACGGAGCCAGGACATATGGAAATGAGCTGGAGAAGCCAACTTTTCCCAGTCCCTTCGAGTCGGAGCTGGGCCCCAAAAGTGTTTGTGCACACACATCACACAAGCCCCCCTCCCCAGCCCCATCCCCATCCCCAGCCGCAGCTGCTCCCGTGGCCATCCCACCCCCTCCCCTCGGCCCTCCGGGGAAAATCCTTCCCGCAGAGACCCCAAAATCCTGCTCTGGGTGACCCACAGCGCCCCAAAAGCTGCGTCCAGGCTGGGGGGGTGGAGGGGGGCAGCCAGATGCAGCCAAACCTGCGCCCACCGGGAATAACCTGCCCCCCTCTAATCGGCGAGAACGTTTTCAGATGGCGGCTGAGGGATGGACAGACTGAGGGACGGACAGACTGAGGGACGGACAGACTGACCCAGAAACGCGGGCACGGCTCCCAGCCCCGCTCGGGAGATTCGGGAGATCCGGGAAAGGGATGTGGGGGGATTTGGGGGGCCGGGCGGGAGCTGGGGACCCCAATTCCTCCGGGGCTGGTTTCGGGGCGGTGCCGGGGATGCGCAGCCGTGCCCGCGGGGGGTTAGAGGGGTCGGGTTTGGGCTTGTCCCCGGCGCTGGCAGCGACACCGCCACGGGGGTGGCACCGTCCTGCGCGACATGTGCCACCCTCGGTGACAGCCGCGGCCGTGCCAGCCGGGAGCCAGCGGCTCAGCTGCGGATTCCCGAGGCGGCAGCCGGCCGGGAGCGGGGGCTCCTGCAGATCCTTGGGATTTGGGGGAGCCTCCCCCCGGCCACAGCCGCTTCCAGGCGGGGTTGGGCTGCAGATCCCCCAAAGCCAAGCGCAGGAGCACAGCCAGCACCATTGTCCCGGGAAGACTTCAACTTCCCAAACCCACCCCCAGTCAACTCCCCTCCTTTCTCTCTTTTTTTTTTTTTTTTTCCTTTCATTTAATTTTATTTTCCAAACCACTTGATCTTTGCTTGGGAACCTCCATTAATTGCCTGGGTTTGCCTCTTCGCCTGGTCCCTTTATCATTATTTATGGCCTTTGAAATTGTGTAAAGTTCCCTTGACGTTCAATTTACAAGTTTGGGGGCTTTTTTTTTTTCTTTTTCCCCCTTTTTTTTTTTTTTTTGTTCCAGCTTTTGTCCTCGCCAAAGACGTCGTGTTGGAAAAGGCTTTGAGCCGGCCAACATGAGAAGCTCGCCGGAGAAAAGGGAGCAGCCCCTCCATCGCTTTTAATTCCGCCGTGTTGCTGAATGGCTCTTTTACATAATTGCAGAAGCAATTTCAAAGCCAAGCCAGGGGCTGACTTTACCCAGAACCACATGGAGCCTATTTGGGGGCTTTTCAAAAAAAAAAAAAAAAAAAAAGGGGGGGGGG